TCAATATAGAGTTACTTAAGTTATCTGATTGGTTTAAAGCCAATAAGCTATCTTTAAATATAAAGAAGTCAAATTATATTATTTTTAGACCACGGCAAAAGAGAATTACTAGTTTGCCGCTGTATATAAATGATCATGAACTACATCGCACAGATCATGCAGTTTTTCTTGGAGTGATCCTGGATGAACACTTGTTTTGGTCACTTCACATTTCGCATATTGCTAGTAAAATTTCTCGATCGGTTGGTATCATATATCGAGCAAGTTTTTGCCTCACCAAGATAGCTCTACGTACACTATACTATGCACTTGTCTATCCTTATTTACAATATTATTGATCATGATCATTTATATACAGCGGCAAACTAGTAATTCTCTTTTGCCGTGGTCTAAAAATAATATAATTTGACTTCTTTATATTTAAAGATAGCTTATTGGCTTTAAACCAATCAGATAACTTAAGTAACTCTATATTGACGATGTTGGTCAAGTTAGATGGTTTCACATATGAATAGACCATAATTTTAATATTTTTAATATTTTTGAATTTGAACTCTATAACTTTTTCAACCGAAGTTATAAATAATTTTATGCATCTAGATATTCTATTGTAGTATAATGAGACTTTTTACTGATGTAATTTAACCTAATAGGTTACAAATCGGTATTTTATTAAATTATCAATTATCAATTATCAATATTGTGTAACAGGGTGGGGTTCAACATAGCCTTATAAATTAAATCGTCTCTTATTGCTCCAAAAAAGGGTGATTAGAATTATCAATAAGGTAGAATTTGATGCCCACACTGATCCATTATTTAAAGATAATCAAATATTTAAGTTCAAAATATTTATTTTTACACTCTGGGGAAATTCATGTTTTTATACATAAATAATAGGCTTCCTAGAAACTTTGACAACCTGGTGTTACGAGTAAAACAGGTGCATGGGTATGGCTTGCGGAGAACTGAATTAATTGTTATATGTACCATTGTGTAGAACTAAGTTACGTCAATTCTCTGTGTCCTATCAAGGTTCAAGTTTTTGTTAATACACTGAGTAACGATATTCGTAATGCACCAACTCTTCAACAATTCCAATTCAAATTAAGAAACTTCTTATATTTTCGACTCTCTGTTCTCGACTATAACATGGTTTTAAATACTTGGGTTTTAATTAAGTCAAGTCTATCTGACTACTATAACACAGCTGTGAATAAATTATTTTAATACTTTTATAAATGAGGAAGCCCATAATTCAATAAGCCTTATGGTTTCTACTTGGCTTCCTCGTCACATGCATCTTTCATTATGTTTGTTTTGTAAATAATTCCTTTTTGTGGTAATTTAATAAATTGAATTGAATTGAATCTCGCTGCAAAAACAAAATTTTCCCTCTCTAAAACATTTTGCCTCATACAGGGGCGTAGCCGAGTACCGGATTAACCATATGACACAAGTGGCATATGCCACGTTGAATGTACGCATGATTCATACTTTCTAAATACTTTTTGTGTTAATAATTATCATGCAAATTATATTTTAGCAAACTTAGAAAATGCAAAATTATTACATCAAGGCTATGTCGTATACAATTAAAAACTCTTGCCAACAACATCAACAACAACGGCAACGACAACGACAACGACAACGACAACGACAACGACAACGACAACGACAACGACAACGACAACGACAACGACAACGACAACGACATGTTATGTCATGATAATGTTTTGGGTTTTTTTCAGATGTGAATTTAATGGCAAGTTTAGAAGAAGGGATAATGGTGACTCCAGTTCATATTGCTGCCAAGTACAACAGATGTGAGTGTTTAACAATTCTCTTGGAACATGGCGCTGATGCTAACATTGCTAATTCTTTTGGACAAACACCATTGCACACTGCTGCCAGAAGAAAACTTAATAAGATGGTCGAAGTAAGTTTGAATACTAAATTGTAAAACTCGTGAAGAAAATTTAAAAATAAATCAATGCTTTCCTCTTTTCCCGAAAATTATCCTGATTTGCATAAACTTTTTCTCCATTTTCTTTTCAAATAATTTCTTAAAACACAACTGTTCACAACTTATTATGGCATTCTCGTTCGTGTTGTATTAGACATACAACCTTTCGCCTTTAATTTGGCTCGAGTTTGTATATCTGATACAAACACGGCCGCTCATGCATACATGAGTTGCATGCTTATTGCTTATATATTACTTAACAGAACTCGATAACTGAAAGTTCACCTTAGTCCTTAGGAGTGCAAAACAGTGATTACTGATAACATGAAACACAAATGCTCTCATAACATATTCCTATATGCGCAACTATATATAGTACCTATAGTCTACTGTCTCTGGCTATATTGATATTATAGATTCTTATAAAGAAAGGTTTAGCAAATGTGAACAGTGCAGATCATGACATGGTAACTGCATTACATCTGGCTGCCACACCTGGGAATGACAACGAAAGAACAACTGTCGTTAAAACTTTGGTAAGAAGGAAATGCAAAACCAAATTCAATTAACTTGTTTTAAACCAGCTGGAATAACTCTATTCAGTTCTATTCTGTTTTCCCTATAGGCGTAGAGAAACGTACATGCCATATCATACCTAGTTATAAATAACTTCATTGTATAAATAACTTCATCAATTCTAAGCCACAGTTTTTCCTATACCTCATATTGGTCTAGTTTTACAAATGTTATAAGCCACTCTATATATCAGTTCAGGAGGACACTAAAGTATATGGAAATCCCTGGGCGGTGTTTTCTACAATGCACTTGACTGAGAAGAAATAGTATAATTATACAGTTGCATAATGGACATAGGACGTGGATGTGAAAGCACAATGTGCTAAACAAGTGCTTGAATTTATTATTTTTCATGTAGCTTGAGAATGATGCGAATCCATTTTGTGAAGACAACGAAGGGAACAGCGTCTTTCACGAGGCAGCAGAAAATGGCGTTGGTGATGTCCTGGAAATACTTTCTGACTATAGGGGTATATAAATTGTTCAGTTAACTTGGTTTAAGTTTGGTGTTACAGTCGACATCTTACGGACATCTCTATAATATACTTATCTAATAAGAACAATTCTTGGTAGAGACACCGCTCTATATATACGAACATATTTCTAGTATGGACACCTCTCTAACATGGATATCTCTTCAATAGGAACTTCTCTAATTCTCTCTAATACGAACACTTCTTTAATAATGGACACTTCTTTAATACGAAAATCTCTCCAGCATAACATGCACATCTCTAATATGAGCGTCCCTTTGAAACTGACACCTTTTCGATACGAACATTTCCCTTTTACGAGCAGTTTCCATTGTTCCGACATAACAAATTTATTTTTAAAAAGCCTTTATAATACGAACATTTTTCTAGCTTTCAGTTCCATATATATGAGAGAGCAGTGGCTGTATGGTTTCAGCTAATAATTTTACGCGACTCAATTCTATTCTAATTCTTTAATTCTTTTTGACAGGATACCATAAAGGTTCATATACGAGTGTAATAGACGTTTTAAATAAACCACGAAACGATGGCAGCAATTGTCTTCACCTTGCCGTGAAAAATGGCCATGAAAAGGTAAAAATATGTAAGGGAATCTGGACAGTTCTTTGCTTTGCAACTGTAGTACGTAATGAAATAAGATGGTAATGATTTTAATCATTTGTACTTGATTTATTTATCATTCAGATCATTTATGTGACTCCAACATGAAATCATCGTCGCTATATCGGAATCTTTTTAGTTAAATCCTTTCTTCTAAAAACAATTGAAGAATTGCTAAAACCGAAAATAAATACTTGAACCTCTTTCCATGTTTATCATGTTGCACCCTCCACGCTTTGTCATCCCCACGCCTTCTCATCCCAGTCCCTTCCCCCCTGTTTGAGTTTCAGATAAGGTGCCAGTATTATTGAGGCCGAGAATGAGAGAGATTTGAGAAGTGAGTTTGCATGCATGAGAGTTTGAGTACACGAGAACAAGAGTCGCATGAGTACTAGTGTTGGTCAAAGCGAGCGAGAGTTGCAACTCTCATCCTCATTTTTTTTGTTAACAACTTTATTGGTTTAATTACGCGAACGGGACAAAAGTACCCATGCTAGGCGCCTTCCCGTTACAACAAGCTAAATACTAACATTTTTATACAACAAATCTAAAGATTATAATAAATATAACTATCAAGTCAATGTCAGAGATTGCCTAGGATAATGTCCATGTGCTGGGTGTGTCGATTTCGAAATGGGTATTAAATAGGATTAGGTATCTTGGATTGATTAGGTATCTTGGATTGATTAGGTGTTTGAAGGAGTGGATAAATGAGAAACTCTAAACGGGAGCTGTTTTACAAATTATGTTCGAAATTTTTAAAGTTCGGTTGTAAAAGGAGGCATGATAAGTAGAGGTGTTGCATTGTGAGGTTTTGAGAACTAACGGAATCTGACTATGCGTGGTGCGACCATGCCAATAAATGAGACATGCTCATTGTTCACTTCGATGTACCCGCGTATAATGCCTTGTAGAAAAATATAAGGTCTTTGATCTCTCTGTCGTAACATATATTGCCTTTAATAAAGGCAATAAGTTCAGCATGTTTAGTCTTTGATGGTATGTCATCTCTTTATTTTGGTATCCTATGATCCACTTGGTAACTTTCGTGTACTGATGTCCAAGCCACTTTAGTCTATTTTTCAATTGCAATCTTTTAATTTGTTAATTTCCCTTTATCTATACAGGTGGTTCAAATGTTCATTGATCACAAAGCTGATGTAAATCGAAAGTCGGTGAGTTTCATAGTTTTACGGAAACCACTTGTCATTCATAATTCACAGACAAAATCCATGTAAAGGAAATCAGCAACTTTTCGTTATCCTGACACAGTAGCATAATCTGTCAAGATATGATAGTCTGGAAGCCAGCCAAACATCAAAGCCACAAAATAGAAAACCTTTGTTTGATGTTGAACTATATACCACACCGTGCACAAATCCTTTGTCTCAATTTCATTAAATATTAGGCCCGTTTTATACGTCGAATTTTGGTCGCGTCGAATGCAATTAAGACAATAGATAATGAGATGATAAACCTCATTAAGCTTCATTATCTGTTGTTTGAATTGCATTCGACACGACCGAAATTCGACGTATAAAACAGGCCTTATTTAGTGATCGTGGTTGCACATTTCACCTTAGCTATCCCTATTGGACGATTACTTCATTTTTAGCAAAAATACAATGAGCTCAATCACCGTGACCGTACACCAATTAACATAAACTCAGACAAAAACTGATATCGAATATTAATGACCTCTGTCTAGTTTCCATACCATTATGTTTTGATATTCTATGATACTAGTCATAATACAGGGTGTATAAAAAAAACGCAACCTCGGAATTTCCTAAGAAATCACTTTGCAATTCTTAAGCATAAAAGATTTTAGGCCCCTGGGAATTGAAATCGAATTGCTAATAGATCATATTACTGTTGTTGTGCATTAAATAAATGCATAAATTTTGCTTTATGCACTAGCGTGTGCAGTAATTTTGACTGTTGTGCTATTTTAAATACCCAGGCGCCTGAAATCATTTGTCTTTAAAACAATGTCGATTTCTTGGGAAATTCCGAGGTTGCGCTTTTTTTGATACACCCTGTACAGGGTGTATCAAAAAAGCTGAACCCTTTCAAATTCAAATTAGCTATAACGTATTGTAGTAATTTGACAGTTCTAATTGCCTTAAATTACTGGTTGGGTAAGAACACAAGGAATACTGTATTTCTTTTAAATTTTCTAATTTTTATTTCTTTGAGTTTTGTCCCATGAGTACAAGACCTTATCCAACCATTACTTTAAAGCAATTAGAGATGTCAAATTACTACAATACGTTATAGCTAATTTGAATTTGAAAGGGTTCAGTTTTTTTTTATACACACTGCATGTAGTAATAAAAATTCATAAACTAAATCAGCTTAAATATTTCTTTAAATAAATACTGATTTGCGTGAGAAGCTATCGCACACTCAAAGTAAATTATTGCTGTGCCTGTGACTGTTTTAATAAAAAAAAACGCCTCAAAAATCTCAAAGAAACTTTGGTAATCATATCGAGATCTGAGCGTTGGCAACTTGGCAACACTTTTCTGTGTCTTCTTTCCTGTGCCCAAAGTTCGTCACACTCACACTGTAGGCTTTGTTGCAATTATTGTCTTAAAATAACCAGTGTTTAATCTCATGTTGTCTCTATAGGGAAATGGTGATACACCACTACATATAGCATGTGACAAAGGTCATCTGAGCACGTGTAAAATCTTACTGGAGAACGGAGCGAATATAGAATCTCCTGATTCTTCTAACAAGCTTCCTATTCACAGGTATGACATACTTAAATTTACAGACGAGCAAGTTTTTTATAATAACAGCTTTTTATGCGACAAGTTTTGTTCGCTTGTCTGTACATGCAACTTTGCCAGGTTTTTCTATGGCAAGTATATACTTACCCAACACTTGCCCAACATTAGTGCCCAACACATGCCCAACTCTTGCGCAACACTTGCACAAAACTTGCCCAACACTTGCACAAAACTGCAAAAGCTAGCCCACTAACTTTTGAACAGTGCACTTGTCGTAGAAAAAAGACAAAGTACACAAATTTTGCTTGCCCGGATGGGTCAACAAAGGAAATTTAGGCACTTGGATGCGGTTGGACAGCGATATATTGGATATATTGTTGTAGCACTTATTTTGGCAGCCAGAAAACCAACTTGACTTATCATAGTGACTATGTCATAGAGAATTAAACAAGTTTTTGCTATATGTAATCGACTGACTATGTGGTCGAACTAAGTCAAAAAGGAAGTTTGATGCCTTTCACACCTTCTTGTCTGGTGTTTGGAAAGGCGTCAGGGGAAGTTAAATCGAAATGAAGCGGAACGAGAGAAACTCGGAAGAGAACCCTCCATTGTTTCTCCAATATCCGTTTCAGCTCGATGTTCTCGAGATGACTGCATACAATTACCGGCATATAGACAGCAATTTTGAAACGAGCATAAACATTCTTCTCTGAACTCCTTCAGAGCAGTGTTCATCAACTATTGAAGCCAAAATGCGATGGTTTTTTATGATAGTCTTAATAGTTTCTTGCTATCCAAGTTGCCTTACCGCGACATGTAATGGATGTCTCGATGCAAGAAAGTTACTGGAGATACAAAAACAACTGGAATTTCTCACCAATGAAGTCAAGACATTGATAAAGAGCAGCGAAGGTATGTAACTGTATGACACAGTTTCTTTATAGCTATTTTACTTCGCACCGTGCGGCGCTTGAGTACATACAGGCCATGAACAATCACACTCGCGATTCTATCCTCCCTATAAATCTGTGGAGTCCAGATCTATGCACGATCAAGAGCAAAAATCCATTCCAACTAAGTGTGTGTTTAGGTGGGCGGATACAGAGCTGACCCAAGGATGCAATTATATATAATATATACAACGACTCAACAAATCCACTAGGCATCTGTATATCCATATAAAGGCATCTTCATATCCATTGAGCACTCTGCGGCGCCAAATTTTTTATAATCAACGAAACCTAATCTTGTTTACTAGAACGCATGAATTTGTTTCATGACTGCCACACGCCCACGTTTCCGACCGTAAACATTTAATTAAGCAGCCCACTTTTCGAAATTTGATGATTCCTCTTGGATGAAACAGGCTTTTGTGGCAACCTTTTGTGGTAAAACAACTATTTCTGCTCTATCTATATGAATGCATTTCGTGCACCAAACCACATTCGTATGTATAATACATATATACGAATACATATATACATATATATATATATATATATATATATATATATATATATATATATATATATATATATATA